TGGAAATGGGATTCTAGAAACACTGCAGGCATCAGCTTAGCCACCCGTCCACGAGACTGCGCCTGGAGCAATTCCTTATTAAATTCTAAAGCCTTTTCCTGACTGAGAACACCCATGTGCTGGTACACGGGGCCAGTCATTCTATTAGCCATGCGCCGATGCGGAATCTGATAAACTTCATCGTCCACAGAGATGCCTCCTGAAATTTAGACAAACAGAGTTTCACATCATAGTTGTTACTATATAATGACTGGAATAGTCTACTGACCAATTACAATGCAGGATGTCAATTGTCCATTTTATATAATATTGTTTTTGCATATTGAACAAAACTTCAGTTGGCTTGTTTTGTACAGCAAATATGTACATGAAAAAAAGTACATAGCTGAATAACTCAACTTCAATAAGTCAAAATTTGAATGAAACCAGACTTAGCCTCCAACCATTCTGAAGAACTCCAAACCATCTGAGTGTAAGAATGTAAAACACCGAGTGATCATGCATAAAGGGAATGGATATTGATGTCCAATACAAACATAAAACTTGGACCACTTGGAGCCAAGAAAATGAGAAACCTGAGAATCCAAAGGAGATAAATGACCTTCACTCTTAAAAATAAAGGTTATTTTTTGGCATCTATGGTTCCATGAAGAACCTTTAACATCCATGGAAACCTTCTAATACACAAAATGTTCTAAAAAATGTTTTTTTTTTTTAATTCCCGGGTTATTATAATGTTCTTCATATTAAGGGGGGGGGCATTTTAAGAACTGTTCACTGAAAGGTTCTTTAGGGGAACCCAAAATAGTCCTTCTATGGCATTGTTGTGAAAACCCTGTTTTAGAACCTGTTTTAAGAGTGTTGATGGACCCAAAGATGACAATAAATGCGGCTTATGGGATAGCTAACTCCAAAATGTAAAGTCTGTCATGATTTACTTATCATCATGCCCTTCCAAACCAGCTTGCCCTTCTTTTTTTAATGCATATCCTGTCCACAGAGAATGGGTCTGTCAAGCTCAAAAATGACAAAAAAGCGCCAGCGACGAAGATTAGAAGTAAATAACAACTTAAATTGTGGCCTGTTCCTCACACAAAAGCTATCATATGACTTCAGAACACTTGAAATATAGCGCACAAGTACTATTATAATTTTATAATTATCATATCATTTATAATATATTTCTCCTTTTGCATTCCATGGGAGAAAGAAAGATGATGAACATCTATTTTTGTCAGTCTGGAAGAGACAAGGTCAAGAAGCAGGAGATGTAAATAGATAGATGTATGGATAGATCTATTCATTTATCTATCTATCATGTAAATGGATGAACATTTTGATAAAAGATAGCACAGTTCAACACACTGTAAAAAATATTTTTTTTTTCCATTGATGATTAGAGTATGTACAAATTTTCACTTCACATTTTCACATTGAATTCATTGTGTTCCTTGCTGTTTCTTTGTCATTGTGAAATTTGCTAGCAATTTCTGTTTGAAAATTGTTTCTACAACAATTTTTAGTGCACTCAAGTCAGTCTAAATAAATAACTACTGCAAATGATCAAATATGGTTATGTTGATTAAGTGCTTGATAAGTGACGATGTATTTAAGCCTGTTATAAGAAGCATAACCGTAATTATGGTGTGTAACCACATGCAATATCAACTACAGTAATGCTGTATGAGCATACACAGCCACAAGACAACCTAATAATGAACATGCTGTAAAAATGAATATGTCTCTGTAGCCTACCTGATCTAAGCTTCAGAAAGGACTGTATATGGGTGCATTATTATTCATTATAGCGCTGGCAAGAAATGTTGAATAAACAAACATTTCCCTGTCGAATAAAGGTCCGTATATTTCACTTTGTTCTATGATCCTCATTGTTTATTGGTTTTATTTACCTCTTCAAATGATCCCATTGCCCATATTATTAAACTCACATTATGACAAATAAACGCCCAGTTCACTCATTACAATAGCAAATAAGGAAATTATTATAGCAGGAATTAAAACAAACACACGATATGGATATTGTTTTTAGCCTCACCTGTGACGTGCAATCCAATCAATGAAGAAATAACGACTAATGCCGTGTTCACGAACATGATTCTTCTTCTTGTATTACAAATACATTATGGCTTTATGAAGATCAGTCGAGGCTACAGTGTCTCTATGGTTAAGACACTGAAACGATGACTGTTTAACACAATAATTCTGCATCTGCTGAGGATCATACACCCCGATGTGTCTCTCTAGCGCTGAGAGGATCCATTTGGAGAATCGATTCGCTTGGTTGATTCATTTCAAAGAACCAATTCAGACGCCGTCGCCGATCCATATCGATATCCATACTAGAACATAAATAGTGCATTTTTACACATACAGACCTCGCGGAATAAGGCAGCTTTTTCTGAATTAATCCCACTATTAATCTCAGCTGTGTTCTATATTTAGTAGATATAGTATTTAGTAAATACTAGTTTTTTTCGTATTCAAACATCCACGCACCTAACAAACAAAGTTTATTTAGTCCAGTGATTCACACTGGACGCTCTGCGATCCTATTCGAATGAATCTTAAGAACCGGATCGGATAAACGATTTGTTCGTGAATCACTAGTTCTCATAAGAGAAAATGAGTAGGTGGAGAAAAAACACAAGCTTGATTTGCCAATGTGAACACACTTATAGGTAGCATGGAGACATTAAAAATATTATAGAATGACCCAATTAAATTCCCTCAATGAATGAATAGATCTGCACATCTTAAATCATTTATTATTAGGCTATTGGTTGTAGTAGTGGTAGTAGTAGTATATACTATTTCCTGCACTAGATTATAAAAAATCCCATTCTTTAATTAAAACATTTTTTCAGCCACAGTTCAGGTCATCCAGGCTGTTTGAACTTAATATGCCTATACTTTACTTAGTATGCTATAACTTATTGGATTTGATCATCGCAAGCACCAAGAAGAGCAGGCAACTTGTAGGCAAGGTTTTGTCAAGCCATTGTTCAGAATCTGATGACAAGCTGATAATATTGTTTATTGCCTATGTCGTCCCATATCTCTGTCTCATAATGCTGCAATATAATGGCAATATAATTAAATTCTTAATCACAGAGGATGAGTTTATTCATTGTGGTAGGTGGATGCTGTTTGCTTAGTTATGTCAAAAGGCTTGATTCTATCAGATCTCTAATCCCAAGGCACCAAAAACGTAAAAGCTTTGTAGATATTAAAGCGGTCTTGCTAGAAATGTGGCCCTTTGATTGTCAGCATCACTTGGATCTTTGTGTGAAACCTTTTAGAGATCAGATTTGATCAAGGATAGACCAATAGAGCGCTCCTCCTCTATAAAATGTGTTGGGCTTTAATAGAACATGAATCAGACAAATTAAATTAGATAGATAGATAGAAATTGTATTTTTAGTTATTTTAGTACAAACTAAATGAAAATGAGAAATGCTGCCTTGGCAACTAGCTGAAAAAATAAGTTGATATTTTATTTGTTAATGTTTGTTTCAACGTTTTCCAGTTTTGGCGTTAACAATAACAATCCTGTTTCAGTTTCCCTATATGAATCTCCTCAAGCACGCCTCACCGCCATCTTCAAAACCTCATAAACACCTTGTCATCATAAACATCAAACATCATTAAATCCTCAATTTTTGACTCATACACTCTTAAGAGGATATATGTTATTTGTTCTTTTCTTAAACAATTCAGATCTGCCAAGTCAGTCTCGCTGCTGTGTCGTCTTGTGGCAAACATGCAGCTCTCTGCTGTTGCCATGGTAATCTGATGTATGACATTCACCATGCAGCAACAAGCAGCCCTGCCAAAATGCATCGCCCAAAATAGACCTGATGTATTTTATGTGATTAGTCGGAGGGTAACGGCACTCTTGCAGCTGAATCCATCTTGGATCTGCAATGGTTTGAAAGCCCTTCTGACTGCTCTTCATTTCTGGACAGTGATCTTAACAAGCAGCTTATACAGTATGTATAGATATTTTACAAATTCAACATCAAATTTTTTAAAATTAGATTTAAAAAGTAACAGACAAAAGACTTAAAAAGTCATATTTTAGTAGATTAGCCTATTAAAATTAATTAATGTTAAAATAATTTAAAATTAAAAAAGTATATGTTACTAGTTTAGTCTACTATATTATTATTTTAATCAGTTGTTATATTCCCATAACTCTTTCATTTTGATTAATATATATTTTAAACTAAGCAATAAAGCACACACTTGAATGCATGTTAGTTTACTAAGAGTTGATGTTTGACAGTCGATCAACAAGAATATAAGCCGTTCATAAGCATTTCTCCTGTTTAATTATTTTAACTTATTTATATTTTCACATGGAATATGTCAGTTTAGCACTGGCGAATTATATGGTATCTGCTGCGTTTAAAAGTCATATGACGTTCTAGCAACTGCTGTCACTTCTGAAAATACTAAAATAATCAGTTGATAGAATGGAAATAAACATCGAAATGGGAGGGGCTTAATGGCCCGGATGTTATCCCTGATTGGTCGGAGATGTTGTTTTTAAATAAATAGTAATCTAAAGAATGATTTTTACATTTTTAATTTAAATGTTTAAATGTCCATTTAAGTTCATAATTGCTATTATTCAGTTGCAAATCTCTTGTCCAGATCACGGTTATCACGTGGTTTCTGTAAAAAAAAATTCTGCACCGATCAGGATGGACCAATCACAGTCGGCTTTGATCACCTGTTGGCTTTTGGTAAAGCATTTTTACAGAGAATGTTGAAGCGGATTTACGTGTATATTTAGATCAGTTAATGCTTTTTAAACAACATATTTAATATGGTTGTAAATTTTAGCACACAAATGTCTGCAGGCAAAAAATAAAATGTCCTGATGATTGCAGCTCAATGGATGAATGACGTGCTTGGGCCACCGCGCGCCCCCTGCAGGAATAGCCCGTGTGTGTGTGTGTGTGTGTGTGTGTGTGATAGGAAACAGCTAATCTGACCGTGTCGATCACCTGACCCCCCAATCCGTAACGTCACAGAGCGGAACGCCATTAGATTGATGGCAGAGCTTCATCAGGAGTGAATCAGTGTTTAATAGAGGAATCAGCGCGAAGACTTCATGCGAGGCGCGGATCGGTGGCTCTTTGTGTGTGTTGCTGTCATCTGTGGATCTCTATGGCTGCTGTGATCGGCTAGGTGCTCGAGTCAGGCTTTGTTTTTGTGTCAGGCAAAGAGTTTGGGCATGGCGGCGGCTGGAGGGAAGACGTACTCGTTCAAGGTGGTGCTGCTGGGGGAGGGCTGCGTCGGCAAAACATCGCTGGTGTTGCGATACTGCGAGAACAAATTCAACGACAAACACATCACCACCCTTCAGGTGAGAGAGTCAAAGCTACAGTGAATCCGATTCGATCTGTCCATTACATGTGTGACTCCGTCTTCACTCGTTTATTTGTGGTTTCATGCGTAATATAAATAAACACATTTTGAGCGTTTTGTCGGTTTATTAAACGATTTATTAGCTTAAGTTGTTTTGCTCTCAAGTTTGTAATTCTGTTTCGTTTTCATTGTAGCACTAGATTATGGCCTATATAGTGATAGATCATATAGCACTACAGTAGTACAATAATACAGTAACTACAATATATAATTAACTTGCTGTATACTGTAATTACTGACTGTATATAGTAATGTATGTAATAAACTATATAAAAATACATACGATTTTTTAACATGAAATATCAACCAGTGGCCTGCAGTGTGACATGCTAAATGCTATTCTTTCATTTTTAATGCACACAATTTGACTAATTTTTGCATGATTATTATGCTTGCAGTTTTTCATGTTACCACATGGAATTGTTGTACTTTTTGTACTACAAATCTTTGTAAACATTCACATACATTTAACCCCAAGTCTTGATGTGGGCGCTAACTTAAAGGCAGAGTAAGTGATTTCTGGTAGCCAATGTTGATATTTGAAATCACCAAAACAAACACGCCCCACATGATGTAGCCCAGCGGTTAATCCAGTCCTCGCGCCAGCTCGTTAGAAGTGAGCTACGTGCATGAACTGTGTTCCGATCGATATGATCCCTACACAGTGTTCATTGCTCCCTACTCCCTGAGCGGGGTAAATCCGTTGAAGTTTACTTCACTTCGGAACATGGGCTGGAATTGGGAACCTGATGTAGCCTATTGTAGTAATGTTGTCTCTGGTCTGTGAGTGTAAATGCGTTCAGGGGGCGTGGCTTTGGACGGCGAATGCAGGGAGGGTGGGACGTTCGCTTTCAGTGCTATCAGGCTAAAGTTAGCATTTTCCAAGATCTCCTATTGCACCTTTAACGTCCAAGTTATTCATCAACAACTTGCATATGTTCGGTTAGGGGAAGCTTTCTGTCCTTTCTACTTTGTAATTTTTCTCTTTTTCATAAGAACCAAAACATTTAATTTATTTGTGATTTATGCACACACAAAATATTGTCACTAATATCTGTTTATGAGAAGTGACAGAATGAAGATCAGAAAATGTCATTAACTTCTGGATTTTACATAATTACCAAATGTACCCAAAGTTATTTGACTGCTAGTTAACTTTAGTTAGTTATTGCATCATTAACAACAACACACATAATATATATACATGTATACAAAAAAAAAAAATAGTCCATGTCACACATTGTTCAAAACTCCCTTGAATGATGCTATAATGAGATCTTTATTACAGAACATGTGATAAATGTTTTCTCATACAGTACACCACCGTTCAGAAGTTTGGGGTCACTCAGCAATACTTTATATGAGGATAAATACAGTAAATACAGTAATTATGTAATGTATCATATAAAAAACATTAACAAATATACTAACTTTTTTATATTAAAATATTTTGAAATGGAATTTGTTCCTGTGATAGCAAAGCTACATTTTCAGCAGCCATTACTTTAGTGTTTAGTGTCACATGATCCTTCAGAAATCATTCTAATATACTAAATTTATGCTAAAGAAACATTACATATGGAGAAAACAGTTGCCTTGATAACAGGTAACGTGGGTGTTATCTGTTATTGAGGCAAAGGGTGTGCATATATTATTTTATGAAACTTTAAATATATATTTACAGGCTTAGTTTACCCCAATTTTCACCCTCATATTGTTCCAAACCTAGATGGCTTTTTTTTTCCAATGGTAACTAAAATTGTTTGGTTACAAACATTCTTCAAAATATCTTTCTTTGTGTTCTGCAGAAGAAAGAAAATTATACAGGTTTAGAACAACATGAGGGTGAGTGAATTCTGGCAGAACTTTCATTTTGGGTGAACTATCCCTTTAAAGGGGTCATATGATGCTGCTAAAAAGAACATTATTTTGTGTATTTGGTGTAATGAAATGTGTTTATGCGGTTTAAAGTTAAAAAAACACATTATTTTCCACATACTGTACATTATTGTTTCTCCTCTATGCCCCGCCTTTTTGAAACGCGTCGATTTTTACAAAACTAATCGGTCTGAAAAGCGAGGTGTGCTCTGATTGGCCAACTATCCAGTGCGTTGTGATTGGCCGAATACATCAAGCGTGAGACGGAAATGTTACGCCCCTACCATACTGTATTTCCGTATGTCCCGGCGCGACGAGACAAAAACATTAAAACCCATTACAAACGAAGCATTTGTTGCATCCAGTGGGGACATAATTACTGATTATAATGACTTATACTGTCTTTTTACGCATTGCGTTGCATTGCGCCGCGTAAACATAAAACCATGTCTGCATTTGGACATCGGAGAAATGACAAACAACAAGCGCTACTCTAACACTGCCCAAAACTCACGTTTGAATCATCAGTGGCAAATGATAAAAGAAAACATACTTACGCGAGTCAGAACTGCCGGCATTTTAGTCTAACGTAACTCTCCCAGGATCAGTAAACAGTCCTCCATAAAATGTGCCGGCGATCCACAGCACTAAGTTGATGTATTCCCTCAGCGACCAGCACAGATCAGCTCTAGGCATAACGAAGCGGATATCGTCCTCTTTTGAAAGACCAAACAAAGTAGTTTCGCTTTCACAACGAAAAACACAGCGGCCTAGCGTGAGCGAAAGCCCCGGCTTAGCCTGAGCTGAAGCCGGGCAAGAGTGAGCTGAGGGCTACTCTACACTGCTCAAACCTCGCGTTTGAATCGTCAGTGGCAAATCCTTTAAATGAAAACGTACTTACATGAGTCAGAACTGCCATTTTAGTCTAACGTTACTCTCCCAGGATCAGTAAACAGTCCTCCATAAAATGTGCTGCACACATCTGATTATTTGGGTTGAAGTGTTCTGGAACAGTGTTGTAAATACAACTTAACCACTGATTTGTAGTCGTGTCCTTTTTTGGAAGACCAAACAAAGTAGTTTCGCTTTCACAATGAAAAACACAGCGGCCTAGCGTGAGCGAAATCCCCGGCTTAGCCTGAGCTGAAGCCGGGTAAGAGTGAGCTGAGGCGGCGGGGCGGTCCCGGCGGTCCCGGCAAAAGGAGCGGTGAAAACGGTGAAAGCCAATCCGGCGATCCACAGCACTAATTCCCTCAGCTCCCTCAGCGACCAGCACAGATCAGCTCTAGGCATGAAGAAGCGGATATCGTCCTCTTTTGGAAGACCAAACAAAGTAGCTTCGCTTTCACAACGAAGCACACAGCGTCTTCAGGACATGGCGGCAGCGGCAACAATACTACAGTGAGAATAAAAGTTACGCCTTCTTTCTTTGCGTGAACATTTGGGCGGCGTTATGCAAATCTTCCCACATAGTGAGGTAGATATGTGGGGGCGTGTTCGAACGAGCCGTTTTAGGTAGGTGTGGCTAACTCTTAACTTTTATAAAGAATATCTCTTTGCGGCGGCAACAATATTACAGCGAGAATAAAAGTTACTCCTTCTTTCTTTGTGTGAACATTTGGGCGGTGTTATGCAAATCTTCCCACATAGTGTGGTAGATATGTGGGGGCGTGTTCGAACGAGCCGTTTTAGGTAGGTGTGGCTAACTCTTAACTTTTATAAAGAATATCTCTTTGGATTTGAGACTTTAGTCTTTGCAACTTTACAGATCTTCTTTATGCACCAAGAGCTTGTAACACTCTAAAGAGAAAGGAAAAAATGAAATCGCATCATATGACCCCTTTAAATAAGCAGTATGACAGCTGTTATGAGAGCTATGTATTTTTTTTTGTTTTGAAATGTCTGTAGTATAAACCCAACATTAAATACAATGAAAGTCCATCAACGTTTTCATCAGTGTGGTTACTGTGGAATGAGGATGGACTTGTAATAGTTCATCCTTGTTACTGTGTAACAGACTATAAAACATACAGAAAAGGCAGCTGTGACCTTGACGTAACACTCTGAAACCTGTTACATGTTATCAGTAAACTTTTCCAAGGCATGTTTATCCATGTTTATATTACACATGCTTATAAATGTTTTTGAACATTACAGTAGGGTGTCTGAGCTGCTATGTTTAAATGACTTTAGATTACTATAGCAGTAAGTGGCACATCAAATGAGATTTCCGAAGTTGGAAATGTGAATCTTGAGAATTAATAGCAATTTATGCCTTTGTTTGCAGGCATCATTCCTCACGAAGAAGCTCAACATCACAGGAAAGAGAGTAAATCTGGCTATATGGGTGAGTCACACATGTTGCACAATATGAATGTAGCACTTGTGTAGGGGTTTATCTTGAATAAAAGATTAAGCAAAGTCTGTGTTTTGGATAGATGTTGAAATCTGGTGCTGTTCACATTCTATTTCTCTTATTTAATGAGAAGGTAAGATTGGATGTTTTTCCAAGATATTATTTTAAGTGGATTGTTAAAAGTGAACGTTACCAGAAAATGGAGCCCGGTGATTGGAGGCCATGTTGGCTGTATAGGAAAGATGTTTCAGAAGCGAAGCAAATTACATTTTATTTTGCTGAACTATATAATATGTTTTGATAAAAGATTAATTATTTTCTTCGTAAATGATTCACACTCAAACCTGGAACATGTTTTAAAAAAGTAAATGGGGACAGTTTTGCTTTCACATTAACTAATTTATTGACTTCAGAGTCAAGAGAGTCAAACACAATAATGCTCAAAGTGTCAGATTTGTGCTTTACTTCCAAGAAGGGGTGGGCGGATAGATCCTAATATCGATAGTATCGTTATCAACGTTGGTATTGGTATCGGATCGATACTTTAGGTTAAGTTTCTTTCCTCTACGCTTAGTACATTGCTCCCGCTTCATCAAAGAGTAGACATGTCTGTGTGTGTATATACGCTGCTCCTTTCACAACTTGTATGCACATATTGCTCCTCCTGTTCTGCTGTATTTTGTTGTCATGCCATCACATGACTTGGTGGCGCCAAACACATGTAGACACTTTTGGCTGCAGTAGGGCTGCACGATAAATCGCATGCGATATTTAACGCGCATCTTGTCAGTAAAGCCGGTTCTTTAATCAGCGGTAAATCTCCATCACCTGCGGGCTTTCACATGGATCAGCATTAACTACACAGAGCCGTTGTTCACTGACAAGCTGCGCAAAACCACGATCATATTTTGCGCATGTTTTGCGCAGCTTGTCGGTGAACAACGGCTCTGTGTAGTTAATGCTGCTCCATGTGAAAGCCCGCACGTGATGGAGATTTACCGCTGATTACAGAATGGCTTTACTGACAAGATGCGCGTTAAATATCGCATGCGATTTATCGTTCAGCCCTAGGCTGCAGTAAATGAGAGATGGAATGGCAGATGGAATCGCTACATTGGCAACAGCACTTACACAAATACATGAAAAAAAAACACGAAAAAGAGAACTCCGAGCTGCAAAAGAAATGAAGAGGGGAGGAGGGAAATCCTTCACATACACAGTATATATTTTTTATAAACTGTATACCGAATCTGGCCTTTTTATAATCACTGTTTTCGTCCATTAAGCCACATTAAGCGTTTTCTTTAAAATGGTTTTCTATGAGAGGAAAACGCTTAACTTGCAATTTAGCACGTTGCATTCATATAGGCTCATCTGCTTGCAATAGTAAGGTGTATACTGAGTTTGGTCTTAAAGGGGTCATATGATGTTGCTAAACGAGTAAGAAAGCTTGGAGGCAAGGCATATCTTGATGTCAAATAAAATAAATAAATTACACAGTTTAAATAAAGTAAAAATCAGCAAACAATGTGGAACCAATTAAATAAGAAACGAATGTTTAAAAAAACTTCCAAAATCACTTTAGATAAACGGCAAAAGTCAACAGGCTTTTCAAAATCCAATATACTGCCAAACAGGCACTTTTGCATTTCGTTTCGAAACTAAATCATCTGCTATCGTCTTGTCTGTCTCACCCCACTCTTCTTGTCAGTCAGCTCGACTCACTCTCCTCACTGGATAAATTAAATCTGATCTGTGTGATGCGACTGTCGTTCGGCACGCTGCATTGAGCAGCCACGTTCAGTTTTTAATTGTAGTGTCTGTTCTTTTACTGAACTAAATAATTTTTATTACTATAAAAAAATAAAAACGACGGTGGGGGTCGGTGCTGCGGTGGGCAAGTGGCGTAACCGGTGTTGCGGCTTAACAACGGTATCACCGTCAGCACAGTCTATCGCGGCAAGCCTACTTATGGGCCTAAATGCCTTTATTATGCCTCAAATTTTTGATTTTTCTAATATTTTGTTCTGAAGAAAGATAAACATGTATAGTGAGGAGAGCCAAAATATTAATTGTCACAGAGACATTAGCAATCTTTGTTGCATTATGTGCCAATGGTGAGCATTCAAAAGGTTTGCATGCCTGTAACTCAAGAAGTATTAAAGATATCTTAATGCCCTATTAGATATTGAGTCTTAAAAACTTTCCTTTTGGCATCTTCATTTTTAATGCCATATATGGTTCATTTCCAGAGATATTGGAATTTCAATATGGCTCTAGGTGTAAATTATAATTTACAGATTCAGAGCCTGTAATTTGGCTCTGAATCTCAGGTGAAAATTGTCATTTTGACCCCCCTCTGCAAAATAGTGGATTACTCATCTGTGACATTAAATAATTTTGCTTTCATCGCTTTACATGTTTATCTTTCTTCAGAAAAAAATATTAGCAGAATCAAAAATTTGAGCCGGGGACCTCTGGTTGAGTTGACATGGAAAGACCCTATTTATTTCCATCTCGAATCAGGGTCCAGTTGCCTAAACTTAGCCTCTATGTTAAGTTAGTCAAGGAGTAATTCGTCTTGTTTTTGGATTCAAGATAGACCAATCTATGTTGTTATGTAACTGTGACTTAAACAAGTTATAACCAGTCTTGAAGAAAAAAATTTGCTGACTAACTTGTAAGACTAGTCTAAGCCTTTTATGCAACTGGCCACAGCTCAGTACTTTTAGCCCTCCTCCACCCCAGCACCACCTGTCTAGGTCTGCTATAAGGGTTTGTCCCTACTTTACCTAGCAGTAGCAAGTATTCCAATTAGAGCCCGACCGATATGGTTTTTTTGGGGGCCGATACCGATATTAAGGAGTAAAAAAAGACCTATACTGATATATCGGCCGATATTCTTTATGTGTAGGCTATTTTATAGTACAGTATAGTCAAAAGTTTGGACACACTTCCCATTCGTGTGTCCAAACTTTTGACTGGTACTGTATATAGAATACAGTATATAGCCTACATAAACAGAATATATATATATATATATATACATAAACACATTTTTTGCAATGATAGTGTATATATATATATATATGTATATGTATGTGTGTATATATATATATATATATATATGTATATGTGTACTGACCTGTTTTTTATTTATTCATCAAAAATAAGACAAAATCCATGAAATTCCGCGTTGCTATGCGTTTTAAACGAACACTAACTAGTGTAAATGTAGCCTAACAGATGTGTAAACTGAAGACTATTT